ATTTCAGAAAACAAAGGTGAGTTTGTCAACAGTTTATTGTAATTTTTACATAAATACCAAGTAGTAGACCTCAAAAAGGTGAATAAATTTAGTAGTCTTCTTGGATAAACAAACATTTCAAAATTTTGATGCAACATTTTACTCGATTACCTGTACTTTGTCAGAGGAAAAGAGGTACTTGCATATCTCTTAATGACCATGATGTTTTTGTGCTATATACAACTTAATTTTATAGTGTAACATTTGAAATGGATGAATCAGAAGCTCAACATTTAAAGTATAACAGTTGATGTCTGCTTACATTATATTTAACTTTGTAGGTCAACATATATTTAAATATTTTCATGACATAGAAACTAGTCCTATTACTTTCTGTTGATATAATTATCTTATAATTTTGGTTTATTGTAGATCTCAGTTCTGGATGGATCTCATGAACGGTTTGAAGGAAAGACATCTCTTCAATGGAAGTCATGAGCACACATGCCTAGTGCGGTTTGTCTTCATGGATATGCTACAAATAGATCTTGATGAATGCAAGGACAGGTGGAATAAACATACCATAAGACCTGTTAAACAATCTTGCTGTCCATCTGGTAAACCAGATGTGATGTATCATCTACCTCACAGGTAATTTTTGTTCAATTCAATTCAATTCAATTTTATTTATATAGCGCCACATCACAACAACAGTTGTCTCACAGCGCTTTCCAAACAGAGCAGGTCAGACCCTACTCTGAAGTTAACTACAGAAACCCAACAATTCCCACCATGAGCAAGCACTAGGCGACACAGGCAAGGAAAAACTTCCTTTTAACAGGCAGAAACCTTGAGCAGAACCATGGCTCAGGGTGGGCGGCCATCTGCCTCGGCCGTTGTTGTTTTTGTCTTCAACATCTGGTTAATTTAAAACCTCTTTCGGAACTCTAAAAAATAATTTACCAAAACAAAAATAATGAACAATGTGTTAACATTATGTCACTTTTTATTCTAACAATTCCAGATGACAATTTCTAAAATGTAAATTTAAATAAAATGAATCATTTAGACAGGTTACAACAATAGTCACAGCAGTAACAGTTTAC